ATCATCCTTATCCCAGAAGTCCCAGCTCATGTCTGCTTTTAGACCCACACACTTCGCCAGGTCAACCACTCTTCTAATGTCATTTTTGCCTATTTTTAAACTTTATATAAATAAAAAAATGTCAGTATACTTTTTGAATAGAGACTTCTATGTTTCTCAGGATGGCCTTGTGTTTGTAATGTAAAAGAGGAGACCCTCAAACTTCTGCCTTCTGCTCTTTCTCCCTTCATGCCCCCAGGAGTGCTGGGATTGCAGACAAGTGTCTTGGTCTTTAGTGTTTAGCTTCTTTTTCTCAGCATATATTTATGTGAATTAACCATGTTGTTATATGTCTAATATCCTGCTATATGACTATTATTTTAGTTTAGGGAAAGTTGAGTAATTTCTAATTTTAGGGTAGTGTGGACCATGCCTCAAGCATTCTAGTGTGCTTTTCTGAGTGAAGGTTTGAACACATGACTCTTGGCAGTAGAATGGCATAGTGCACAGTGTATGCATGTGTTTGGGTTAGACAATGCTAAATGATTTTGCATAGTAGAGATCCCACTGTATGTTGTCACCAGCTGTTGATGAAAGCTGCAGCAACATACACTTCCTGCCATCCTGCCTTTCCATCGTAGACACTCTGGTGGGTTACACTGGGTTTGCTTTTCAAAATCAATCAGAGAGAGCAATAGAAAGAACTTGGCAGTGAGGAAAAATATACTTTGATCCTGAGGCTCTTGAATTTGCACCCCTTCTCCCCAGACATATGGCATAACTAGTCACTTTACTTCTCTGAGTTCTGTTTTCTTGAGTTTAAAATGAGGTTAATAATGTCCCTGGGGACTCAAAGCCCTAGCTTCCAGGAATGCTGTGTGGGCATTTGTGAACTCCTACTCCATCCTGTTTTCAAATCCACTTTTCTCTGTATGCTGAGACTTACTCATCTGCTGGGGCTGCACACCAATAAAAAATTGTAATCATTAGGTCAAGGTAGTAATTTCTGGGGCTGAAAATTTGTGGCTTAATATGTCCTGCTGTTTTTGTAATGGGGTTTTGAATATGGGATCACAACACAGATAGCATGGGTTTGTCATCCTCCTGTTAACTAAGTGAAGAAAAAACATGCTGGAATTGTTTGAAGCTGTACATGTTTTTGTCCACCTCATTCTTTCATTTGCTGACTAAATATAACTCTTCATGCTGGAAAAATATCACAAACTCTCCATCATTCAGACTCATTAAAGGTCTCCTTTGTGACCATCCCTAAGTCCTGACCAGTTTCAGAAGTTAGTACCTGCTGTATTTATTTCACAGAATATTTTGTATATTTCCCCATGATAACATCAATTCATTCATCTATCTAGTTGTCTGTCTGCTTGTCTATCTACACTCCCAAGCACATCACACACTATTAGAGTTTAAGTTTCTCTCTTTCTTGAATTTAATAGCTGCCCAAGGTTGAGCACCATGAGCAGCTGACCTTCCAATATGGCATACTGGTTATCATGTAAGAGAGAAGGGGAAAGAAGGCAGGGGGGGAATGAAAGAGAGGGTGAGGAAAGAGAGGAGGCCTCCTCTTGTCCAGGACAACTGTTGCTTTGTACACTGAACACCTGGTTCCCTTCTGCTGACACTTAATCCCTGTGATCCCCTTAAAACTCAAGTGGAGCCAATCTCACAGTCAGCACTGAGCAGTGATTGGATAAGTCAGGCTGGCCAATTGCTGTGTTCTTTCTTCTGGTGATAACAGTGGCTGTGAGACTACATCAGATTGGCTGAATGCAGTACTGAGGAAGTTACCTGAACCCTATCCCATCCATGGGAGAGATGTCTGGATCTATAAAGCTGTTCCCGATGTTCAGATGACCAACCATCTCAGATTTTCTTGAACTTAGAGGTATCTTGGGGTATCGAGTTCAGTGTTAAAACATAGAACATGTAAATAAGTTGGCTGACATATTTGTCATTTCAGATTGGCAATTTTCCTTTGATTTTCTTAACCCAGGATAGGGCTTCTCTTACAAATCATGTGTTAAAAAGCCAAAATCACTGTAAATACATGTGCCAATGACTATCTTCCAAAAACATAGTTTTATTTTTATTATAATGAAATTAAAACATGTATTATGAGAGAGGGAGAAGGGAAGGAAAGGAGTTCTATTTCAGCATCTACAACTGTCTGTCACGGTTTCCTGGGTGGACGTTGCTCCTCTGTTAGAAAGCATATTGCAACTAAGGACTCAAAAAATAGCTCATGTGGTCTATGTGTAGGTATTCCTGACTCATAGCAGAGAAGCAGCCCTTGGTGTGCTTAGGATGGCTATGGAGAAAGGAAAGCCAGGTGGCAGACTAGATCAGACTCAGGCAGGGAGACTACACTGGCTTCTCCCTTTCAAAATGTCTTCCGCATTTGATGGACCTTGTCATGGAACAACAGTGACAGCTTACTGACAATTCATGTGCTGAGAAGCTTGGATACTGTGACTCTGGCAGCTGTGTCCCCCTAGGAGATGTCCCCTTCTTCCTGATGGAGGCTACCTTGAGTTTTAGCTGGGCTTGTGCCACCCTACTCCCCAGAGTAAAGTCTACATGATCTCATCTATCTGAAAGTTATAGGTTGCCATATTTCTAAGTTTCACACCAGTGAGTGTGAGCACAAATGTTATGTCCCTATGCTCTTGACCCCCCTTTTCTCCCATCCTGATGTTTGGAATTGACATGTATTATCAAGCTATTTTTGCCAATGTCAACATGAAAATAGCTTAGGCATGGCAGTGCAACCCAGAAGGACCCCTGTTCCCCAAGCAACCTCTGGGAGCTGCACTGTTAGTCTGCACTGTGTGGCTTGGCTCCGTCTTCATGTGTAAGTCATAATTATGATGGGCTTCTGATACACAGAGATCAGCCAGTCTACACCATCATCACATCTGACATCACCATGGTTGCTGAGGAAGAGAGGTTATATACTCTATGACTACACAGTGGCTGAGTGTCATCTTGATTGTCACAGTTTTCTTTCTAAGTATCATGCTTACCTGTGACTCCACTCTTTAATAACGTATATAGTGTTTATTATCTCAGTAAAGGAGGCAGGAGTACTGTCTTTCTCGCCAGCAAGAGAGCCTTCATTGAAGCTATCCTCTGTTCTAACAGTGGATCTCAGATAAAAAGCATGTCTGAAGATACTTACATCTTCCTCTTTTCCCTTGTGTAAATGGCTTTCCTGGAAGAACACTGGTTCCTGGACCCAGTACATGTAGTACAACTTTTGCAGGTAGTTTTCAAAGTGTCCATCAGCCCATCCTGGGTCTGTTCAAGGATGCTAAAGACAAGTGCACCTAAGAACTCAGAAAATAGCATCATGTGGTCTTGTATAGGTATTCCTGACTCATACCAGAGAAACAGCCCTCAGTGTGCTTAGGGTGGCTAAGGAGAAAGGAAAGCCAAGTGGCAGACTAGATCAGACTCAGGCAGGGAGACACTGGGTTCTCAGGTGTACTTACCTTAAGTATAATTGGCTAGTTAACAATAAATGAAGCTTTGGTCAATTTCAGTATCCCTTCCCACAGGTAGGTTTTTTTTTTTAAATCACTAGTTTTATTCATAATTTTAACAGTGAAGGAGAATTAAATGCCAACTTTTTGAGCAAACAAATGATCTAATTCAGGCACAACCTAGCAGGCTGTTGTTTAATGATATTTAACAACATTATATAATTCTTATGATCAATTTAGTGTCCTTGAGGCAGCCAGCCTAGTTCTCCTGTGCTGAAGTTCTGACAAACACTCTTTTTCTCACATATTTCCCAAACTGTAGGTTCTAATTCTGTGTTCCAGTTAATTAGCAATGCCTTTAATTTTAGACAACCCCTATCAGTTAAGATACCCAAAATTCCATCTCTGTTTCCAAAGGTGTCTGTTTGTTGTTCCAGAAGGTGCTCAGCTACCAAAATAAACAGATGACGTATCAGTTATGAGGAGTGCTGTTGCCTCATTGGGCAGATGTCTCTCACGATGTTGACTAAATATAGAGTGCCAGTTTTAGGGCAAAGATGCCTGCAAATTTAAAACATGTTAATAAAAGTATTTATTGGAAATATGTCACTCTGGTCTCTTGGTTAGTGGGGTTGTAGAACTAATTCAGTATTTTCAGGCATAGAAATTCTTAATCCCTGAAAACTAAAGAATTTTATGAACAATTTAATATTGAAAAAAATCTACTTTGAGGAGCAGGAGAGATGGCCCAGTGGTCAGGAGCACTCTTGCCAAGGGCTAGTGTTTGGTTCTCAGCATCTAGGTCAGGTGACCCACAACTGCCAGTATCACCAGCTTCAGGGTACCTGCATGTACCTACACACACACACACACACACACACACACACACACACACACACACACACACACACGGAAAACATGAATCTTAAAAAATACCAACTTTAGAGTTGGGTATGGTGGTGCATACTTGCAGCCCCAGCATCATTTGGGAGCTCAAAGGAAGAGGATCAAGAACTCATGACCAAGCTGTGCTATACAGCAAGCCCAAGGCCAGTCTGGGATACTGGAATGGTTTGAATATAAAATGCTCCCACAGGCTCATGTGTTTGAACTGGTTTCCATCTGGTGGCACTGTTAGGGGGTTTTGGAACCTTTGGAGCATGGTGTCTAATAGACATAGACAGGGTTCAAAGGGCAGAATAAACAGCTATAGAGGGCCTCATTTGAGGTCTATAACATCTTCTTCTTGTCTTCAGAGGTATAACAAGCCCCAGAGAAGTCTCAGCCCCAATTTCTACAACCATGAACTCTACCATGCCTTTCCCCACCATGATGGATTGTGCTCTCTGAAACTGTGAGCGAAAGTTGTTTCCTCCAGGCATTTGGTCACAGCAATAAGAAAGGTAACAAATACACATTGAGGCCAACCTGGGTTACATAGCAAGACCTATCCTTCAGAAGATTTGAGTACTGCTATATGTGAAATGTCAACATCTGAGATTTCACCATTTAATACAGGGTTTCTATTTGTCTTTCATTCCCCAACCCTCTTGATCCTAGAAGATGAAAAGGCTGAGTCACATAGTTTATAATGTGCCAGAGTTTACATTTCAAGGCCATATTTCAACGAGAAAGGAGTATTTCCTCTAGATAGAATGAAAAAGTTCTAGCTGTGCTATTATTTGATTTGTTTCCAAGATTGTCTTTACTTAACAGCCACAGTGATACTCACCATTCATGTATTACATAATGTTTTTTAGAACTGGTTCCATTTAGTTCAGCAAACATGTGTTGAACACACAAAAGTCATTCACTCATTTGGCAAATATTTATTGAATCCCTCTCTAGATGCTCCAGGCAGTGTGTAAAGATCTGAAGGAAAAAAAAAAGTGTGCAAGAAAGAAATACCCCAGCTTCCAAGAGTTCATAGTATAGAGTGTATTAGGAATGAAAATGTAGCTAGTTTTTATTTAAAGCCTCCATATATGAACACAATGAGTAAGACATGCATTTTCTGTACATTGAGTTAAGGCCCATTCTTAGCCCTTGGCACATCTGGGTGGCCAGCAATTCTGTCTCAGACACCATTAGGAGTCCCCCCCCCCAGTGAGGGTCATTTCAAAGCACCTCAATTCTAGATTTGCAAGACTTTGGGCTGAAAATATATGTAGGCTTAGTCCAGAATCCTGACCCATAGTAACCACATTTGTGTCATTTTAAGTCATTAGATTATGGCAGTTTGTCACAGAGCAACAGAATATAAGAACACAGTCGCCTCTGACCTTTATGATATGCCATGTTTTCTGTCAAGTACCCCACTTTCCAAGCCTGAATAGTCTCTGAAACTACCAGAGTTGCTGTTTCCGTCACCTAAGAATAAATGTAGTCAGAGGCTGAGTCCCAGGCCGCTGTGTTGAAGTAGTCACCAGAAGGCTCATGGAGCCTCCTCGCTTGCAGGGATTTCCCACAGGTGGGCCTTGAAGCAATTGTCTGCTTCTATGACAGCATAATGACTTATGGCCTCAGAAGATACAGGAAACACAGGCTCTGCTTTTCATTATGATTACAGCAACAGAAGGAAGAGCTTTGCAGCCTCCTTGGTTTTACTTTATGTGGAGGCGGGAAGTCAGAGTGGAAGGCAAAGGGTTGCTGTCTCTTGTTTGTTCTGATCATTCTACAGTGATAAAAATGAAATACAAATAAACATCTCCATATATTTCTAGAACACACTAGTGATGGTCAACACCATCAGAATGGCTGTGATATGTTGTTTCCTGGAGTATTTAAAGGAGGGGTCAGACCAGGCAAAACCATGCAAGCCCACCAGAGGAAATAACACCTATCAGCCAACTCTTCCTCTAATAATTCTGCATAGCAAAGACTTTCTTCCTTTGATGTTACTCATTCAAAAGCAAAATCAAAATCTCTCTCTCTGTGTGTGTGTGTGTGTGTGTGTGTGTGTGTGTGTGTGTGTGTGTGTGTTAACATAATTATTGATTCTTTGGGAATTTGGATTCATGCACCCAAATCCTACTTACCTCCCCATCCTTCCATATCTACCTCACCTCTGAAGCATCTCTCCCCCAAAAGAAAACCCCCCAAATTAATTAAAAACAAAACAAAGCAAACAAAAAACCCTACCTCACTCTCCAACACCTCTTCATTTGTCCTAGTGGCATTGGGAGCTGTGGTGTGTCATGCATTATTCCTTTTGTTCAGCCAGCCCCACCTGCAAATGGTCATTGCAATGAATCATTAGTCCTGTTCAAGGCCTCTGGCACACTATCATCACTGGACCTCACTGAAACCCCTCTCAGATATCCTGCCATTGCCCCCAGTCATGGAGATCCTGCAGCTATTATTCTGCAGGACCAGTTCCTTTACCTTCATCAGGTCACAGATAGGGTAGATGTTAGGGTGGACCAACCCAAGGCCAAGGATGTAGGTCTGGGTAGTAGCTGAGCTGGTTAGTCTGTGATTCTGGTACTTCCCCCCTCAGGTGAGGTGTGAGGCCAGCTGTCCTAGACTCATGCCATCTGGCCTAGCTCTCCCATGCCCATGGTGAGGTGTGAGTGTAGGGGCCAGCTGTTTCATGAGGTGTGGGGCCAGCTCTCCTGCTACAGTGTTCAGTGAGTGGCAGGGCCAGCTATCCTAGGGCCAGTGAAGGGCAGGGCTGCCTCAGCATGGTCCTCCAATTTCAATATGCATAGTTCCTATGAACCTCTATAGCAACATGGGCCAGGGACATCATCATAGACCCCAGCCCCAACAGGATCACAGACCCAGACATGGCCTTAGACAGCAGCTCAGGCCTGGATGTCATCATTTCCCCAGTGACAGTACAGGCCATTTAGATCAGCATGGCCCTTGGACACCAACATGACCACTGGTGGCAGCTCAGATCCCCAGGCATCCTTGTGATCTTTGGTGGCAATATGGGTCATGAATGCCAACAGAGACCCTGGCATTGATAGAACCATGGACCCAGACATGGTTCTCAGCAGCATCCAAGGCCCGGATGTCACCCTGGCCTCAGATGGCAAGCAGACTGCCACTATCAGCCTGTCCTGCACCACCTTCATGTCTTCAGTTCCACCTCTGTCCACAGGACATGAACCATTCTGTTTGTCTCTCTCTCACACATTTCTCTACCACATATCTGCTCATCATAATGGTACCTTGTGCCACCAGGTGGACCTGTGAATGCCTTCAGCCAGCACAGACTATGAGGATCCAGGTTGGCCAGTGAATGTCTTTCACCTGCCTGGGCTGCATGGCAGTAGGTGGAACTGTGCATCCATGATAAATTTTTCTGTAAGTTAAGAAAATAAAAGTAATTTAAATGTCATCGCAGAAGTGAACTAGTGAAAGAGCAGTGTGGCTTCAAGAACTAGCAAGAAGAAATATCTTCAGAATGAAAATGGGCAAATGTGTTGGACTCTTAAGCGTTATGTATGTGTTTGTGGAGGGGGATGACTTTCTAGACTTAGTTAGTATTCATTTCGAATCCAGACTAGACACTGGGCCTGTCTCATCTGTCTTCTGGTTGTCTTTGGATCGGCTTCTACATCGGCACTATCTCTTGAGGGGCAGAGATGCAGTAAGGCAAGAATAATGCTGTCTTAGTTCCTCTTCCTGTTACAGTGATAATACACACTGATAGAAGTATCTTAGGATAATGGAGTTATTGTGGCCTGTCTTAGTTAAGATTTCTATTGTGAAAGAAACTCCATGACTGAAAGTAACTTGGAGAGGAAAGGGTTTATTTTACTTACTTTTCCTCATTAAAGGAAGTCACAACAGAAACTCAAACAGGGCAGTAGCCTTGAGGTGGGAGCTGATGCAGAGGCCATGGTGGGGAGGTACTCCTTACTGGCTTGCTCCCCATGGTTTGATCAGTCCGATTTCTTGTAGAACCCAGGACCACCAGTCCAAAGATAACACCATCCTCGATGGGCTGGGCCCTTCCCCATCAATCACTAATTTAGAAGATGCTCTACAACTGAATCTGTGGAGGCATTTTTCTCAATTGAGGTTCCCTCCTTTCAGATGACTCTAGCTTATGTCAAGTTGAATAAAACTAGGCAGGACAGGCTCATAGTTCAAGGTACTTCATGATATGGAAGCCTAGAGGTAGGAGCTTAAGCATCTGATCACACAGAATCCACAGTCAGGAAGCAGTAAATGATGGATGTCCCCGCCCCTGTCCACTTAAATAGTCCAGGATCCATGCAGAGAATGATGTCACTCACAGTGTGCATATCAATTAACACAATCAAGATAACCTTCCAAAACCAGGCCCAAAACCTGTCTCATGGATGAATATAGATTTTGTTAAGTTGATAACTCTTACTATCAGTGTTCCTCAAGGCTTCAGCTGGGGAGTAGCACATTAATAGTTCTATGTAAATTATATTGGTCATGACAAGTCACAGAGCTAAGTCAACACTGGTGGTGCACAGAAGGTCACTTTGGCCAAGCGGGGCATAGTTTAGCTGCTTACAGAAAGGGCATGGGTTTGTAATTCATGGAAGATGTAAAGATGTGGGGACAATTCCTCAATTTGTCCCATTATTCTATGGAACATCTAAACCTATGTCAGTTTCAGAAGGCTTTGTAATTAACATCATCATATTAATAAAACAGCATAGCATCCAGCCACCTTGAGAAGTCCTAAAGCAGTGTGCAACCCTATGACTCTCAGTCACAGTTGGTCACCACAGGCTCAAAGCTACACTGCATGTGCAAAGTCTCCTACTTCATTATTTCTTTATTGTATTAAACAGGGTTCTCTCAAGGAACAGAATGTGTAGAATGAATATATGAAAAAATCCTTCAAGAAAGTAACCTGGATCTAACCAAGAGGACAAGTTGTTAAGTAGGTATAGTGACACAATTTTTTAAATTAATTTCTTTATTTTACATTCCAAACACAGTTTCTCCTCCCAGATACCCACCTCTCCTTTGCCCTGCCTTCCCCCATATTCTCCTCCTCCATTTCGGTTTAGGAAAGGGCAGGCTACCATGGATATCAACAAAACATGGCATATCAGGTTGCAGTAAGACTAAGCACCTCTCCTTGTATTAAGAGTGGGCAAGGCAACCCAGTGTGAAGAATAAGGTCCTTAAAAGCAAGCAAAAGAGTCAAAGATAGCCCCTGCTCCCACTGAGTCCCATAAGGGGATCAAGCTATACATCCAGTGACACAATTTGTGGAACCCAGTGCAAAAGGAAAAAAAAAGGACCTTATTAAAAATAATGTTAAGACATCTTTTAAAAATAATTAAGGACTTCCAAAATGGCAATGTAGATGAGTTAAGGCAGGAGCAGGGCCCCATACAAACTTATAAGCTGTATATAGATAGGACAAGTTTCCCCCTTTGGTCATTTCAATGGCCCTGGCATGCAGGGAGCAAGAACGCCCAGGAACAGCTATTTGAGTAATTGGAACTGAGGCTCTGAGTGGTTTAGGGTGCTCTCTCCCCACATCTTGAACTTTGTTTGCTCTAACCAGTGTGCCACATTTGTTTTACTGGGGTCGGGTGCTGTAGGAGTTTCCTATTATGAGCTGTAACATGGGCTCACAAAATGACAGCTTTCAATTGCAAATTTGTTGTCTCACAGGTCTGGATGTTGGAGGTTCAAGAGCCAAGGATCATTGTAACCTGTTCCTTGTTTCTTGCCTGGCTTCTGGTGGTATGCTGGAACTGTTTATAACTGCTGGGAGCATTACTCTAAATGCCTGCCTACATCTTCAGATGCCTTCTTCTTGTGTGCATTGCCCTCTGTCCAGATTTTCCCTTCGAATATGGCACCAATCATACTTGGTTGAGGACTCACCCTATTCCAAGATGACCTCATCTTAAGTATCACCTATAAATAACATTACATTCTGAGGTACTAGGGCATAAAATCTTTAACACATGGAACTGAGAGAACCAACTGAAACCATAACAGCTGTATTTTGTAAGTGTTTGAGAAATGAGGTCATTTAGTAGAGACACAAATATAAAAGGAAGCTGCCTAGTAGCATGTCACTGGTAGCAGATGGCCATAAACAGCCACCAACAAGCCAAGACCATCAAACACTTGGGGCAACCCATATGTCAGAGAAGGTGGAAGACAGCTTTGAAGCCTGTCACTTGATTAACTGTCCTCTCAAACAGATGGACTTTTCATAGTCCTATGACGGTCCCTGAATCATTACCTCTGTTACCCAACAGGTGCAGTCATTTCTTGTACTACTTGACATGCGATTTACAGCGTTATCCAAGATCATAGTTTGGTAAACTCGGCTTCACACTGAAGTCTTCTGGGAACTTTTACAAACAATAATCTCTCCATTTAGGTGGTCTGAGGTACAATCTAGGCACTGAGAATCCTTTTAAAGCTTTCAGGTGATTACAGTATGTAGCTAAGTTTGCAAACCACTGGCCTGGAACTTTCCCAGAGGCAGCCATCTGTGTAACTGTTGTGGTGCACATTGATTGCAGATGGATGGCATGGATTTACTGGTTGTTGCTTCTAAATTAAATAATTTAATATCTCTTTATTTCAGCTCTGTAACAATGAACACACCAGTTTTACTTCTTCAGCATAATTTCTTTGGGCTACTAAGGAATCAAATCTTTGCTGTCTGGACCTTCTTTAGCTTATGAAGCAGCCCTTTGGCAGAGAACATCCGCCTCATTGAGAATGGAGGGAACAGATAGGCTTGAACTTGGAGCAATGTGTGGTGAGTAGCAGAAGTATGGGTCATCACATGATTTCCTCCCCAAGTGTAGGATGTTACCATTAGCAACTAATACATGATTTCAGTGAATGTTAAACCAATCCCCACGTTCTCTTCTCTGCTAACTCTTGATTTACTATCCTTGTTTTGCTTCTCATCCTCTTCCCCGTCTCATGTTCTCTCTCATGCTATTATTTCTTCCCGTTATACCATCATTCTCCTTGATTACACATATTTTTAAGGCTGGATAGAGGGCAAGGGACAGGCATTAAATTCAACAGTCAAAGGATTATGAGAAGTGAGTCATGTCATGGATATTCTGCAGTAGTCTATGACAGTCAAGATTTCTTCTTGCAGAGATCTGAGGAGAAAACACATAGCCCAAGAATATTGGGGGTCTTCATTTTCTTCCTCAGACCAGAGTGGGGCTAATATGCTCTGTGAGCCTGTTTTCTGGTCCCAGAAAGAACTTGTAGAGGTTAGCTATACACAGGTAATAAATTATAATCATGATGTTTGTAACATGTGTGTTACCTACTGTGTTCTCTTAGGCATACAAACAGGTACAAAGACTAAAACCAAGACAGGAGGGGTTTCAACCTCAGGATCTTTGCCTGCATTAGTGCACTTAAACTTGACTTTGCCTCAACAGGCACTTCAGAATGGGAGCAAGGAAGTGGGTAAAAGGTAACATTTTGAAGGATTGAAAGTCAAAAAAAAAACAAAAACAAAACAGAGAAACAAAAGATGGAGGCAGACTGGGACAAACAGCTACCATTATGTACAGAATTTACAAGGCTGAAGTAGATGATAATAGCAGCCCCAAAGGATAGAGTTCTAACCGAGAGGAAACTGGAGAGCACACTGCCTACGATTTGTGTCTAGATAGTAGTTGTGTCAGGGGTTCCAGTGGACAAGCTGGCTGTTGGAAGCTCCAGTGATAAGGCTTGGGTGATTTTGAGAAAAGCATCTTTACTTCTCTTTCACCTGGTGCTTTTAAGGGGAGAAGGAAAATGAAATCTTGACTTCTACGTTCAGTCCAGAAATACAAGAAGACAACAAGTGAAAAATAATGCAAGCTTTTAGATTTTATATAATTTGGGCTCCTGGTTTCATTTGCACTTGTTATTTGGAAGCCTTTAAAACCAGTCACCTGTTCGATACATCCTTTATTCTCTTACTGCTGTGGGTGTTGAAATTTTAAAGCTTATCTTTGGTATCACCAAGGTGTCTGCATGGCAGAGGGACCTCTCACAGAAGACTTCCCTTGCCTCTTCTATCTACTGGAGCTCTAGGTGTTCATGTCTGAAGACCTGGATTTGAAAATGCATTTTAGTAGTAAGGTGTGAAACTCAACCCATTAAAAAGGTAAATTGTGGTGTTGGCTGCAAATGGGTGTAAATTTGCAGGAAGGGTAGACTTTGTAATATGTAAATTATACTTCAGGGAAGTAATTTTGCAAAGGTGAGTAAAAGACTTTTCAACCACTGACAGAGATCCTGAAACTCATCTGAAGAGCCCCAGAATTCCAGTTGTTACATCAAAAATATTCAAAGCTATGATCCATGTTAATTGTTTCATATCCCCTATAGAACACAGAAAATACTCATGCGAGTTGAGAAGAAAAATGGGAGAACAACATAAATTTTCACAATAATAGTGAAATGAATTTTATGGTAATAGTAAATGAATTTTAAAATACCCATACTCTAGAACCCAACACAATAAGTTTAATGTGATTAAATTAAAATAAGAATTTTAAGATGGGAGTTTGACGTCTACTGTCATGGAAAGAAATTTCACACATATTGTCCTTGTGGAAAAATAACTAATAAGAGTATGGCTGCATTACCACATGGTGTTCTTTTCTCTGTGCTTCTTTGAGTTAGTTATTTCCCTTCTTTTATAATACCAGTCATTGGATAGGGAGCCCATTAAGCTCTATAGAACCTCACTTTAAATTTAAACAAACACACTCACACACACACACACACACACACACACACACACACAATCACACACACACACTTATATTCACACACATACAATCACAAACACTCACACAC